GCAGGGCCCCCTGCGGTGTTTATGCAGCTGATAATCAAAGTGCTGCATGAGCTCCTCTACAAGGGGGTCCTCGTCTACCTGGACAACATTCTCATTTTTTACCGAGACCACGGAGGACCACATATCCCTAGTCCTTCAGATACTTAAAAAGGTATATGTCAAGCTGCCAAAATGTGAATTTCACCGCTCAGGGCTAAACTACCTAGGCTACTGAGTGTCAAACAAGGGGATAAAGATGGACCCAGTCACAGTTCAGGCTCTCCTAGAGTGGCAGTCCCCTCACACCCTCAGACAGCTACAAAACTTCCTGGGATTCACAAACTTCTACAGACAATTCATCCCCTCTTTTGCAAAAATTGCCAAATCTATGATACACCTCCTAAAAACTGGGAGCCCAGGAGCGAAGCCCTGCCCTGGGCAGCCCCTCCAGTGGGACCTCACTTGCCAAGGGGTATTTGAAACACTAAAACAGCTATTTGCAAGAGAACCAGTACTGGAACATCCCGACTCCGAATAACTCTTTGTCATCCAAACCAATGCCAGCAACGTGGCGGTGCAAGATGTCTTACTCCAAAAAAATTCCCAGGGGAACCTACAACCCTGTGCCTATACATTACATAAACTTACTGACACGGAGAAACAGTGGGCAGTGTGTGAAAAGGAGGCTTTTGTGTTAAGATGGGCACTACTAAACTGGTGCCACCTTCTGGAAGGGGGGGGGAGAAACCGTTTGAAGTCTGGACTGACCATAAGAATCTGGAGGCTCATAGGACCCCGCGGAAACTATTGCCCAAACAGGTCCGATGGGCTCAATACTTCAACTGATTCAACTTTGTGCTAAAACATATCCCAGGGGGAGGAATTTCCTAGAGGCCCTCTCCCGCATGCCCCAATACAAATGTGAGCAGGAGGAGGTAGTAAATGCTATCATTCCACTTCCCCAAACCGCAGTCCAAGTGACCACCTGCCAACAATGCCGCAACCGGCAGGACCCACCCGCAAGTGATTTAATCGCAAAGTTTAAAACTGAACTGGAAACAGATCCCTGGTTCCATGACAACCAGCACATCCTGACAAAAAGGGAGGACCTAGCGTGGAAGGGGGTAAAACTCTATGTCCCCAAGTCCCTACGCACCTCAAAGCTCTGCAGAAGCCATGATGTCAAATCAGCGGGCCACTTTGGGTTTCTAAAAACTTTATACCTGGTAAGGAGACAATTCTGGTGGCCTGGCATGAAGAAAGACGTAGACTGCTATGTAAAAAGCTACACCATCTGCGCCACCATGAAAAGAAGATGCAGAAGACCCCCCACCCAGACTGCTCCAACAGGTGGTAGAGCCAACGAGACTGTGGGAGGAGATCACAATGGACTTTATAGTTGAATTGCCAAAGAGCGGGAGGAATACAGTGATTGACTTATTCTCCAAGCAGGCACACTTCATACCCTGCAGCGGACTACCCTCAGCCCACTAACTAGCCAAACTCTTCCTGAAGCACATCTACCACCTGCATAGAGTACCGCATAGAATCATCTCGTGGATTGGACATTGTGGAGTCCAATTCACAGCTAAGCTGAAGGAGTTCTTGTGGTCCATTGGATCGTCCCAGGACCTTACTCGGCATTCCATCCGAGTACAAATGGCAGGGCAGAGAGATTGAACTCCATGCTAGAACAATATTTGAGTTGCTACATGAACTACCAACAGTCCAATTGGGCTGACTGTCTGCCATTTACAGAGGTTGCTTACAATAATGTTGTACACAGTAGCACAGGGTTAACTCCTTTCAAGGTAGTAAGTGGTATGGACTTTGTCCCAATGCCGGAATACCCAAGGGAACCCCCCTCCTCAGTCAGTTTGACTGACTGGCTGTTGATACTGAAAGTGTCATGGGAAAGTGCTAGCTAAGGTGGCACAGACAAACACCAAGCTCCACAACGGCTGTTCCAAGTGGGGGGAAAGGTCTATCTATCCACAAAATACTTAAGGCTAAAGCTTCCCAGCAAGAAGCTGGGACCTAAGTTCATGGGGCCATTCTCCATAGTAAAGACCATCAACCCGGTCACAATGCAACTGGGGCTGCCCTGGCTATTGGGGAGAATACATTCAGTGTTCCATAACAGCCTCTTAAAGCCTGTGGTTGGCTCACCCCGTGAGCCCCCAGATCCAGTGGTCATAGGGGACCAAACCCATTATGAGGTGCAACGCATCCTCGACTCTAGGTGGCACAGGGGGCAACTCCAATAACTAATCAAGTGAAGAGGCTACGGTCTATCAGAGGCACCCTTGGTAAAGAGCAGAAACATCCAAGCTGACCGTCTCCTAGCTAGATTCCATGAAAAGAACCCAACCAAACCTGGAAGGGGGGGGATCTCACCCGTAAATGATATACCTGTACTCAAATTGCTTTTGCTTTGCATAGGTTGCCTTTTATTGCCAGATGGCTTGGGACTCTTAATTGCGTTAGGGCACTGGTCAGAACCCTGACACAAGGACAGAGAGCATCAAGGACTCCATGGTTCAACCATGAGCTACAAATATTCTCTTCTATTCAAAATTAGCCGGTGTCAGCTCTTATTAGAAACCCTGTTTTTAATATTATCTTACAGTTTTCACTTCTATACAGGAAGGAGTGCTGAACAGTGTCTTCTACAGTGTCTCCATCCTCTATGGAGTTGCATAACAACCTCTCCAATTAGTTAATAGCAAATAAGGTGCCAACAAGTCAGTTATAACTCTTATAATGATAGAGATAGATATTCTCCAGAATGAATATGAGTTTCACATGGCCTAAACATAATCTGACAACGGGCTTATGTTATGTTACCTTATGCAGCCACTTAAAATCTAAAAATCTCACAAGTGGACTAAAAGAATAAAACTAGAATAAATGAAGAACAAGGGATACAACAGCACAGATTCAATTACAGAAAATTAGCTCAGATATCATAAGAAATGTTTTCCAAGGACACCACCAATGTAATATACATGTTTATCAGAATTGGTACCAGAATGGAATCCTGAGAAACCATCCTGAGAATAACACTGCCTATATTCATGTCACAGAATTGTTTAATATTCTTAATTACCTAGAAGAGTGTTGCTTAACAATGCTTAATGCCATAATTATGTTGTTGACAAATTCTGAATGAAAAATGTCGGAAGGAAGATGCCCATGTAATACAAGTCTGAAATGTTAAGGTAGAAAGTGTGCTGATAATATCAATCTTAGACAAGCCATTATTAGAAATAATGGACCAAATAACTTTTTTAATTTTCACAATTTGTGCATTCTAATCATTGATATTCTCAAGTGAAAAATTATAAGAAGTGTTATGTTATGAGAGCTGTTAAATACTAATGTATCAACTGGACACAAGTCTTGGGCACTGGAACATATGTGTGGAAAACAGATCATGAATTTCAATATTAATCTGAACATGAGGCAAGTACTAAAAATTCCATGACATTAACTGACATTAACACAATTCAGTCAGTAGGCATCTATAAGTCCATCAGCTGCAAGAGTTAGATATCAGAAAACATATAATTGTAATGTGTCTAAGTTCAGGGGTGAAATGTAAAAATGCTTGCTACCGGTTCTGTGGGTGTGGCTTGATGGGTGGGGCTTAGTGGTCATTTGACCGGGTGGGCGTGGCCAACTTGACGTCACTCACTGTTAGAGCCAGGAGCTGCACATTTTGAAGCTCATTTTGCCCTTCTGAAGCCCCCACGCTTTGGGTTTTCCTCCACTACCCAAGGAACATCAGAGCCTTCTCTTGCAGAAACAGAATCCAGGCACAGAAATGGAAAAACGAGGGGGGGAATGGGGAGGAGAAAGTGTAATTAGCAGAATCCAAGCACAGAAATGGAAAACGAGGGGGGGAATGGGGAGGAGAAGGTGTAATTAGCAGAATCCAGGGACAGAAATGGAAAACGAGAGGGGGGAAATGGGGAGGAGAAGGTGTAATTAGCAGAATCCAGGCACAGAAATGGAAAAATGGGGGGGGAGGAAATGGGGAGGAGAAGGTGTAACTAGCAGAATCCAGGCAAAGAAATGGAAAAAGGGAGGGGAGAATGGGGAGGAGAAGGTGTAAGAAGACGTTCCCAACAATGAGTTTGTCAGCGATCTAAGGAAATATCTTCCAGCTCTTCAAGATTGACTTTAAGCCAACAGCAAAAGTGTTTGGGGGGGGCAACAGGTGTGTGTGTGTGTGTGTGTGTGTGTGTGTGTGTGTGTGTGTGTGTGTCTGCCCCTCTAAGGAAAAGAGGAGGCGGCGAAGCCCTGGCTGTCACCTGGGAGAGGAGGACCGTGGATGGACACACACACACACACACACACAGAGTCGCTCCTGCTGCCGCTACTTTTCCTGTCGGCTTCTCAGCGCTCTTAAAGTCAATTTTGAAGAGTTGGAAGATGTTTCCTTAGATCGCTGACACTCTGAAGAATGAGTTTGGCAGCGTGGAAGGCGGGCACACTGGGAAGGGAGTAAGCTGCTAGCACCCTTCCCCGCAGCCCTGCGAAGCTTGCCTGCCTTCCAGGTGGCCTTCCGCTTGCCTGCCTTCACAAGCTGGTCATGGGAAGGCTGCATGGAAGGCAGGGAAGCATGGCAGGACTGCGGTTTGGGAGTGTGGCCAGCCAGCAATTACTACCGGTACGGCGAACTAGCCTCAATCTCCGCTACTGGTCCTCCCGAACCGGTCTGAACCGGTAGCATTTCACCCCTGCTTTAGTTTAATTTGATTGTAACAGCCTGAAGACAAATTGCTTTCTTGTATATTGCCAACTTTATCAATCCTTGTGGCTGACCTACTAAATATTTCTATAATTAAGCAGCTGTTCAATCCTTGCACTGGAAATTAATAATCCCAATACTGTCAATATACTCCAATTAAGCTGCTTTACACTTTTACCCATAAATGAGGTTGATGAGAAATACTTTAAGTCTGTTATGAATTTTGAAGTTGTACATGAACTTTTTATGAATAAAGAATTTGTACCTTTGTCCAACCTGGAAATTTGAGATAGGTGTCCTGAGGCAAATCTGGAATTCCACTAGGAATGGAAAAATTGCCAGTATAAACACTCGGCCCTTCATACGTTGGTACATTTTTTCCAGATATCTTATAACTGAAACCTCCTTGCACTGCTCTGTCAATGTCCAGGGGATATATTTCCCAGTCAAAAAGGATATCTTGAGCAAGAGTTAAATTCACAATCAGACCCTGAAAATAAATGTTTAATAAATATGTCAAAAAAGAGTTTTACTGCTTTACAATTCCCTCTCTTCCCCTCTCCTTCCCTCCCTCCTCCTTCCTCTGTCTGTCCCTCTCTCTCTCTCCTTCTGTCTGGGTTTTTTGTACTCTTACAGCTTTATTTGGAAGCCCTCAATCTAGTGACTACATAGACTCAAATAATTTAATGCAGGTGAATGCATGAGAATAGTAGATATTTGGGAGCTCTGGAAAAACATAGATTATACTCATATTTTTCAATTGGATTTCTGCTCTGCTTAGATAAATGGCATATGTGATAAAGGGAGTGGTACTGTATTGATCTTGTTTCCTCTCTCAGAGTTCAATGTGGTTAAATATGATTTGTATTCAAAGTTGCATAACTGTAAGCAACTGATTCTTTTAAGATGTTCTTTTTTTATATTACACAATTCTTACAGAATTCTCTTTAACAAAATTTATTAAAATGGAAAAGAATGTGGGCACAGGAATTCCTGCAAAGGAACTTAATTTATCACTTTAAACCAGTTTATTTGGATGAAGACAGCCATGGTCTTACAATCTACTGGGGTGGGAAATCTATAGGTGACTATTTTGGTCACATATCATTTGGATCTTTTTAAATCTGCGACCCAATTATGGTTGATGTTGCACAATGATACTACTTCTATTCATGGAAATTGTTTCAAATGGGTGATTACCATGTTTCCCTGAAAATAAGACCCTGTCTTATATTTTTTTGAACCCCGAAATAAGGGCTTGGCCTTATTATTGGGGGGGGGGGTGTGTCTTATTATTTTGGGGGTGCAGGAGGCGGCAAGCGTGGCCACCTCGTGACTGCGGCTGTGGCAGTGCAACACAGCCGCTCGTCAGCTGTTCGCCGGGGCAACCAAAGGTGGGAATCTCCCAGCGTTCTTGGCACTTGCCCACCTCCCATCCATCCATCTATCCATCCCCCTCGCCTGCAAACTCCCACCCCGCTCCCGCCTCTCCACCAGGAGATTCCCAGCAGCCCCAGACGCCCAAAGCCTGCGCCTACCCGGCTCTCTTTTCCACAGCACCCGGCTCTTTATCGAGGGGGGTGGCATGTGGTGCGGAGGAGAAGCAAGACGCATGGAGTGAGATGGGGATCACTCCTCTTGCCGTCTCTTCTCCCCCCCTCGCCAGGGGCCAGGGAGACATGAGACGCGCATCTTACCTGCCTTGCAGCTCTGTCATATGTCTCGCCGTTGTCTGCAGGCAAACACTTCTGCAGCAGGAGCCTTGCGCCGGCCTTCTGAGGGGTACTGTAGCAGCAGCTATCCACAATTTTTTAACCCTTATTTCATCCCGACTCACATGGCCCAGTACTGTCAGGACGAAATAAGGATTAAAAATTGTGGATAGCTGCTGCCAGAGTATCCTTCGGAAGGCCGGCGTGAAGCTCCCGCTGCAGAAGTGGCTGCGCCCAAGGAGTGCTTTTAAGAGAGAAGACAAAGGGGAAGCAATCACTTGCAAACTCTTGCCCCGCTCCCGCCTCTCCGCCGGGCAACCCCCAGCAGCCCCAGATCCCCAAAGCCTGGGCCCACCCGGCTCTCTTTTCCACAGTGCTCAGCTCTTTATTGAGAGAGGTGGAAGATGGGGTGGAGGAGAAGCGAGACGCATGGAGCATGATAGGGCTCCTCTTGTAATCTCTTCTGCCCCCTCGCCAGGCATGGATGCAATTTGGGGATGGCAGGTGGGGAGGGGTGGGGCCAGGGAAATACGAGATGCGAGACGCGAGAAACCCTGCCATGCCCAGTGATAAAATGGGTCGGGATGAAATAAGGGTTAAAAAATTGTGAATTGTAAATAGCTGCTGGATAATTGCTGCTACAGTACCTTTCGGAAGGCTGGTGCGAGGCACATGGGGTGCATCGCTTGGCCTCCTGTTGCAGAAGTGGCCACAATCGATAGCAAAGTGGCTGCATTTGCTGAAGGCGCCAGCCAGAGCGGCACCCATAAGGCAGCTGTTCCTTGGACAGGGTTGCCTGCTGTGACTGTCACCATTAGGTAAGGAGGGTGCGAGGCGTGTGGGGTGCATCTCTTGGCCTCCAGTTTCTTTTGCAGCCACAATTGACTGCAAAAGTGGCTGCGCTTGCTGGAGGCGGTGGCCTGAGCGGGTACCCATGAATCAGCTGTTTCATGAATGGTGGCCTGAGTGGCTCAGCTGATCCGATTAAGGGGCCGAGAAGCCCAGAGGTGACCAGGGAAGGGAAGGGCTGCCTCCTGTGCTGGCCATGCCCACCCCTTCACTAGAGCTTATTTTCGGGTAAATATATGCCCACCCCAAAAATCAGGCTTGGCCTTATTTTCGGGACATGTCATATTTTCAGGGAAACACAGTATATTTCTGATATCTGAAAACTTTGTGCAAGATTGTTGCAAGGCATATTTTCTCTGATGTGATTTAACAAATATTGTTAGGCTTGCCTCCGTTCAAAGCTCAAGAAAGAAAAACCCCAATTCCATGTTTGTAGAGAAAGGTACTTTTACTGAGTATAAACTGAATGCAGTGAAAGAAAAGCAAAATCTGAGGCAATAGGCGCGAAAATTACATATTGAAAGCATCCCCCAAATCCCTCCCCCAACAGTCCCAAGGTAAATGTCCAATCCACATCTCCCCAAGGTGTCATATGGGGTACTTCTTTAGGCGGCCCCATCTATCTGGTATGCCAGGATGGTTGACCTTGACAGTTATCAGCTCTCTCCGCAGCTGCTAAAAAGACAGTGAGAATTTTCCTCCCTTTTTCGAGACATCTCCACCAGCTCGCTTCCCCCACTCCCAAATACCTACAATACCTCCCCCCTCCCATTACAATGGCAGCTGAAAGCAAGCAAGCATCATGAGGCTGACAAATATATAAGTTCACTGGGAAAGAGATATTCATTAGGAATTTGAGGCTACTTTCATTAATATGTTGAAGTGATAACACTCAGGTCTACTTCATAATACTGTATCTGCATCAGAAAAAGTTGAGCAAGGTCAGAAAAGTGCTATGATGGGATAAATGTGGCTTAATATACTAAAAATGAATCATGATAAGGTGGAGATTTTGTAGGTCGGTGGATTCAAGGCAGGGGTGGGTTCTAAATTTTTTTACTACCGGTTCTGTGGGCGTGGCTTATTTTGTGGGCATGGTTTGATGGTCATGTGACAAGCAATTCTTTAGGATTTAGCAGAGGTACTGGTCTACCAGGCTTTTAATTGCTTGAAGAGCTGTATCAGTCTACCCATTTATTTTTGGAGCATACCGGTCTATCCATTTGTTTTTGGAGCGTTCTGGTCTACCTATTTATTTTTGGAGGCACCGGTCTACCCATTTGTTTTTGGAGCGCACTGCTCTACCATCACACTGCCTTTTACCGCTGATCAACTGTAGGGCAGCCCTTTGAAGTGCCGCGGCAAGAGTTTAAACAGTTTTTTTGCTGCTCTGCCACCACGAGAACATTGAAAACTGCTTTCAGGCAGCTTGGCCTAAATTGCCAATCTACCACCACCAAGCGGTTTACAAGGAGCGGATCGGTTCTAGCCAATCAGTTGGGAGGCTTCTTGGTTTCTCAATTTAAAGTTAAGGTGTCTTGTTTTTTTTTCCTCATCTTTGTCAAGTGAGCCCTGATTTTTTCCTTCTAGCCGATGAGCTGGGACTCAGGAGGCAGCAAATAGATTGGGGGCAGGGCCAGGCAGAGGTGGTATTTACCAGTTCTCCAAACTACTCAAAATTTCCACTACTGGTTTGCAAGAACCGGGGAGAACCGGTAGCAACCACCACTGATTCAAGGGAATGAGAATTTGGGGAATAGCTTGATCTGAAATGGCATATTCTCTCTCAGAAATGTAATGTGGCTGCATTTCTTGAGTCAAAGTGATACAATCATTGGGAAAAATCCTACTACATATACTAAGAATTTCACCATCCGTTGGTGAAACGTCTGAGGTGGCTCGGGAGTTCATGGCTTCCATGACGGCCATGGACCTGACCCAGTTAGTTCATGGCCCTACTCACAGGGGAGGTCACACTCTGGACTTGATTTTTGTCTCTGGCCAGTGGTTGAGTGGTTTTGTTATAGGGGATATAGACATGGAACCCTTGTCATGGACTGACCACTCACTCCTTCGCCTAGATCTTCGAACCGCGACCCCTCGCCGCAGGGAGGCGGACCCAATTAGATGGATCCACCCCAGGCGCCTGATGGATCCTGATAGGTTCCAGACGGAGCTTGGGCCATTTCCTGAGGATCTAGCACATGACTCGGCCGAGGACCTGGTAGCCGCCTGGGATCGGGCGGCTGGTGGGGCCTTGGACCGAGTTGTGCCTTTGCGGCCTCTGACCCAATGCCGATCCCGTGCGGCTCCTTGGTTTACTGAGGAGCTGAGGGAAATGAAGTGCCGGAAAAGATGCCTGGAGAGCAGTTGGAGGGCCAGTCTCGCTGAATCTGATCGAACACTGGTAAGGTCGCATATTAAGGCCTACCTAGTGGCGATAAAGACGGCAAAGTCTAACTACTTTTCCGCCTCTATTGCATCATCAGGGAATCGTCCGGCCGCCCTGTTTAGGGCACAGGGTGACCCACTCCCTGCTCCATCCGGGAGTGTGGGAGGATCCCTTAGAAGGCAGGGCGGAGGATTTCGGACAATACCTGTATGACAGTCTGACGGCTGTTACCAGGGGGACCTTTTATCAGGTTCGCCTGATTCGCCAGTTGCGTCCCTTTCTCGATCGGGATTCCTTGTGCACAGTCACTCACGCCCTCGTCACCTCTCGCCTTGACTATTGCAATGCTCTCTACATGGGGCTCCCCTTGAAGAGCACCCGGAGGCTCCAGCTGGTCCAGAATGCAGCAGCGCGGGTAGTGATGGGAGCAAAATGGCGCTCCCATGTAACACCGCTCCTGCGCGAGCTGCACTGGCTCCCGGTGGTCTTCCAGGTGCGCTTCAAGGTATTGGTTATCACCTTTAAAGCGCTCCATGGCATAGGGCCTAGCTATATGCGAGACCGCCTGCTGCTACCGACAACCTCCCATCGACCCGTACGCTCCCACAGAGAGGGCTTCCTCAGGGTGCCATCAGCCAAACAATGTAGGCTGGTGACCCCCAGGGGGAGGGCCTTCTCGGTGGGGGCTCCCACCCTCTGGAATCAGTTGCCCCCGGAGATAAGGAGAATCCATGACCTCAATGCCTTCCGTTGTTCCCTTAAAACCCATCTTTTCCAGCAAGCCGGGTTGGCTTAAGAAGAAATTTTTAAATTCTTTTAATCAGTCTGTGATTTCTTAACTTTCGGGCCAAAATTTATATATATTTTTAAATGTTTTTAAATATTTGTATTCTATGTTTTTTATCTTGGCTGTACACCGTCCTGAGTCCTCAGGGAGAAGGGCGGTATATAAATTGGAAATTAAATTAAATTAAAATTAAGAACCACCCTAAACTTCAAGCTATCTAAGTTATTTATCCAAGTAACATCAAAGATGTTACTTTAGAAGGCAGCTTACAACATTAACAGAAATAGCTCAAGTGCAAAAGCTATCAATACCTGAGCATCTCCTCTAAAGCTCCATTTTTAAAGATTCTTTGTAAAATAAATTTAATCTAGGATTTTGATCTCACCTTTACATTTTAAGTTTCATGGTACAATATAATTTGCAAGTTTCCACATCCTGTAGTGAAGCAGTTGAACACATGAAAGCTATGTTCCTTAAAGAAACCCATTAAGTTCTCTTTTTCTGCTTTTTCTATTTTTCACTAAAACTGTAGTTTGTGGTATCACAGCAAGGTTGCCTCCAAAAGTGGCAAGAGTTTTTAAGAGAGAGAGAGAGAGAGAGAGACTAAGACTAATTTATATTTTATATTTTCCTTAATAATAATACTGGTGCATATGTAAAACATTTAAATATCAAATTGTACATAATTCAACTGATAAAAGTAATATACTTCTCCTTGCCATCAAAGTCAGAGTTGGCAGCCGACTACATTCTGAATAATAAATCCATTCAAAGGCAATCCATAAAAGGATTGACGTGGAGAAAATAAACTTCTGTGATTGTAAAATAAATTATATTCAAACTTTTATGCCAAACTTACTGGGAGATTGTTCCCTGATATTGAAAGACACTAAGGAGCTGGAAAGAGAAAATTACTTCATAACTAATCAGCACCAAAACTGGTTGGTACAGACGGCAAATCTTCAGAATACAATTAGAACCAGAAGAACACACCTACTGATACTTTCAAATTTACTTTAGATAATGTAAATACAAAGGATGATAGGGAGGATCTGTACTCCTCTAGCAAGCCTGTAAGAACTACATTATCTGAATAACTGTTCACATTTCCAAAGGAAGCTACCTGTTGACACCTCTTCATAAAACATTGTATTGCATCTTGGCTGTATTAGATCCATGCCAGTGGCATATAAGGCTTGGTTAATTGTTTATTATGCATATTTCAAATCACCCTCACATATCTGCCAAAGACAGCAGTGATTTTTGGACTACTAGTCAAGTATAGTTTTCTTCTTAATTAAAGAGATACAATAGTATCTCAAAACTTTTTCTTTTCTTCTCAAACTATAAACTCAAATTATTTCCTTTAAATACTATACCTCTATAATATTCACTCAATAGTATTAGAAGTGTTGCTTTATGTTCAAATAATCCAGCAAGTTTATAGTTGACTGGATATTTAAGACAATTGAAACTATACCTTGAAGTCATTGTTGTATCGTCCATAATTGACTCGACCCATATTTTCTATCAACAAATCCAGATTGGCACCTGCATTCCCAGTTATGTTCAATTTCAAGGATTTCCTTCTTTCAAGAATCCCCTGAGGAATCTAAATGAACAATATATTTTAAAGTTAAACCCAAAACAAGACACAGTACAAAAGCTATATCATTATCCACTAGGGTCTTTTTCAGAGGTATCTGCATTTTGATGGGAGGTTTTAGAAAGTGCCTATCCCCAACTTGTCAGACTGCGATGCTATCTCAAAATTAAATGAATTTCCAAACTGCCAATCTTTAAGGAAATCTTTCTTTAATTGAGAACAGCCACCGGATCATGACTCCGTGCGGACAAGACTGACCTTTTGCCCCCCAATCCCTCCCTTTCCAAATCTCTGCTTCTCATTGGCTGTCTTCCAAGTCATTCTTCAGACTTCTTTTCCTCGTCATTTCCCAGGAATGTGCCCCCTCCCCTCATTTCCACGACAACCGGACTTCAAAGGGATTTAGCAGGCAAAAGTTTCAGAGTTTATCTCTCGCTCTCCTCTCTATGCCAGCATTGAAACGCTGACAACTGTGTTAATTCATATGACTTGAATCAAAATTATAATAGTCATTTATATAATTCATTCAGGTGTTTTCTTTAAATAAAATGAGTACTTCTGAAGAAATTCAAATTTTCCCACCCTCTGTGGTCAGAAAGTTTAAATAATTGACAAAAAACAAATAAGCATGGTGGGTGTATAAAAAATATAAAAAACTGTTTTGTTCTTTTTTAAAGTCAAAAATTCATCTTTGTTTTTCTAACTGATGTCATAAACCACTCTTGGTATATATCAAGACCTCTTTATTGGATTTAGTATATTCTACTATTCCTTGATAAAAAAAGGATGGAAATCTTTAGGTTGTTGGGCTCACTTTAACATTTTTGAGAAATAAAAGAACTACATAGGTGGAACAGTGATGCAAAATGCATAGCGCTATACGTGAAGAGAGGATTTGGGTGTTTCTTAGCTCTTAAAAAATCTATTAATTCTACTGTAGTATTTGACTACACTTTTAGCTTCTGCTTCAACATTTTTTTTAATTAAAAAGTTTTAACAAGTATTACAACAATTTTTTCCCATCCCTCCTCCCCCCCCTTCCCTCCTCCTTCCATCTGTAGTTGCTGCAATCTTAATTCTTCTTGACGCTTGGTTGCCGCTCGGGTCTGTCTTTGATCCTTAGGTTCTTCTATTTTGTCGAATACCTCCAAAGCTTGAGCAGTAGTTGAAAGTTGTATTAAATCTTCTTGAGTAATCAAAGCTCCCCTTTGGGCCTGTGCCAGCGATTCTTCCTTCTCCCCCTTTGTTGCCCCCTCTGCTTCAGTCTTCCTTCTAGCTTCTGGGGGCTGGGGGCATCCAGCCTTTAGTACATTGGTGTAAAAATTTCTTGCCTTCCACACTGAGTTAAGACAATATCTTTCTCCTGAATAGTTCACCCCTAGTCCAGTTGGAACTTCCCATCTGTACTGTATCTGACGGTTTCTCGGTTCTTCTGCTTCAAATTGATGAGAAACGGTACCACCGATTTTCAGCAACAATAGTTAGAGGAGCCAGGGACTAAAAGAAGAAATTTGGAGGGGGGTGTGTTGAGGGTAAAACTGCCTTCTGCAAAGTAGTGCAATGGACCAGTCAGTGAATAGATACGATGCTTAGCAAAAACACACAGATTCCAAACATAATGATTTCAACCAGGATTGAAGGATAATGAACACTTGCCAAGTTCACATCCTCTTTTTTTTCTCCTTCCATTGATTGTTTTTTAATCTCAGAGAAAACATAGTGTAGCATCACAACCTGCTTTGATAATAATACTTATAGTCACTGTTCAAATCAATTTCAAACCTATTGCCAGCCAAAGTTACATAACCATATTTGAAATCAAATACAGTCTAAATCAATCCACCACTTCCTTGCTTCTCTCATTGCTAGCACAATGTTAAAGGACAAGAGAGAATCTTCTTCATGTATCTTTAGTTAAAACACTGACATGAGAGCACACATGGCTTTGGCTCAGCACCATCTCAGAAAATATGCATTTCAATGCATTCCTTCTAATTTTTAGGAAACAATCAGAACAGATCATTTAGAACACAATTGCCTATGATATTGATAAGTAAACAATTTAAGTTTACTGCCATTTATTTTATGAGTACAGTATATTGTCATGGCTATATGACCTCGACATTATTTTCATTAGGTGCCCTAAATCTGCAGAGAAGGAATACCTTGATACACTAACATTAGTATTTTGCAGTTATAAATCTAGGATCCATAGCACTGCTTTTCATAGCAATGGAAAGTAAACAGAAATTATTGTGACAGTAGAATCATAAGACCCATCCATCTGAATTTATACTAATCCACAGTATTGGCATATTTCTAAGAAACTATTTTAATACATTTCTACAAGGAGACTACTAGATAAAATGAAGAAGCAGCCTCTGAATCTTGGACTTTGCCTAACAGAGCAAAATGAAGTTAAGAACAGTGTTAACATTGTTAACAAACCACTATAAAATTAAACTATGTATGAATAACAATATAAGCAAATTTATCCATCAGTGACCATATCAGGAAATAAACAGCCTTCACCAAGCATTACAGAACTGATCTTACTTAGAAGACAGTACTTATTTGACATTCTTTTTGTATAATTATTATTACATTACATACAGGAGACAGAATAATCTCTCAGCGAATAATAAATAGATAGATAGATAGATAGATAGATAGATAGATAGATAGATAGATAGATGATGATGTAATCATAGCTATAACCACAAGAAAGCAGTTGTGATATGGTGCTTTACCCCATCCACAGAGATGTAGGCCCGATCATGAATGCCATCAAATGAAGAAAGAATTTCCTTACTACAGTTTCTTGGTAACTTTGTTCTGTATAATGCGTATCCAAAATACTTGAAGAATAAAATAAAGACAAACATTAAAAATTATTTTAAGCAAGCACTGCATTTTTATAATGTAGCTACATTTATATCAATTTATATAGCCATCTCACAATTGCAATTGGAAAACACAAATGGGTCTCAAACCGAATAATCAGACATAAAAATTAGATAATAGAGATAATAGATAATTTAGATACTAGTTATCTATCAGATCTATTACAGTATTAATTGAGATTCAGAGGATTGAGTTAATTTGAGATACAGATTTATGTAATTGTTAATAGGAATTTTAATATTGTCAGTAGTGATTTTGAGTCTGTGATAAAGACAGATCTGTGCAGTGACTTGAGACATCGTGATTAATTTAATATATTAATATAGAATATATAGAGTATAGATACCTGTTTTTTCTTTTTTATTATATTGGCACTTTTTATTGTGATATCAAAAACAATCACGAGAAACAATAACAAGGAAAAATAAGCAGTTAACAGTGGATGATAGTGTGGAAAAATATCTATAAGATCTTGGGAGAGCAGAGTAAACTATTGAAAGAAATAACTAGTCTCACTACTACAACCTTAAAGGCAGGGAAGAAAACTGCTTTGAACCCAACAATAACAATGGTGTCTCCCTCAAATCAAAGATCGATTGAAGGGTCATTAAAGATGGAAAAATCCACCACAGCCCCAACTATGCAGACTATGCAGGCCACCCTAACACTAATATAAGAGACTATGATTAAAATGCAGGAAACGATGTCTAGTAGTCATAGTGAGATGAAAGTTGATATCCAGAATTTAGACAGCAAAATGAATGGGATACAAGAAGCAATCCAGAAAAACGAACAAAAGATAAAAATTGTAGAGGCCAAGACGGAGCAAAACGAAAGAAAATTGGAACAGGTAGACTAAAAGATGATGGCATGGAACAAGGATCTCGAAGATTCAGTAATCCAACTCGAAATGGACAGGGCAGCGTTTTATTTATGATTCCAAAACGTGACTGAGGCAAAAGAGGAAGACCTTGGACAAGTAATGGTGGAGATTATTGCGGAAGCCCTACAAAGGGATAAGCAAGAAATTATAACAGCAATAGACGAGATATGCTGAATCCAGACAAATTACGCCAGACGACACAAACTGCCTAGAGAGATCCATATTAGGTTCGTCAGAAAAAGGGTTCGTGCAATAGTATATAACATAACAAGAGAAGAACCTATGATATATAAGGAGAAAGAAATCATAACCCTAAAGCAAGTTCCCAGAAGAGTAAGAGAGCTGCGTAAAGATTATCGTTTTCTAGCCGTACAGTTGAACAAACGTAATATCATGTTCAGATGGACATTACTGGAAGGGATGCTTATCACTTGGCAAGGCAAAAAACTGAAAATAGATAGTTTAGTGACGGCTCAAGACTTTTTGGACTAACTGACAGGAAATGAAGAGGAGCAGAGCAGCAAAGAGGAAGTGGAGACTACAAGCCAGGAAGAACAATGTCACAACAACGAGACGTTAAAGAAGGAGCCCCAGAAAAGAAGAACAAAGAGAGAGAGAGAGATAATCGAGATACAAAGGGTAGTAAAATAAGAACTCAAAGGGTTATAAAGGCAGATAGATATCGAGATATATTAGGCAGAGAACCTAAGGAATGGAAAACTGGAATCTTATTTCGATAAACGTGAATGGATTAAATGTGACAACAAAAAGAAAACAGATCTTTGCAAAGTTAGTCAAACAAAAAGTAGATATAATATGCCTTCAGGAGGTTCATATCCAGAAACAGGATGAAAGACATTTAGAGTACAGCAAGTTAGGGAAACTATATGCAGCCCTATCTGATAAGAAAAAGAAGGGAATGGCAATATATGTGAGGGGAGGAATAATAGCTAAACCAATATATGCGGATCCTAAAGGAAGAACACTTATAGTGGAAATAAAGAGAGGGTTTTTATCAATCTTGTTAGTAGTTATTTATGCGCCTAACAAAAACTAGAGGGATTATTATAAAAAACTACACGAAAAGGTAATTACGACAGGCCACAGAAATATATGTATAGTAGGTGATTACAATGGGATAATAGATATTAAAAATGACCATGTCAGTAGCAAAGACAATAAGAAGAAAAGAAATACATTACCCAAAACATTTTTTAACATGGCAGAGGAATTGTATTTAATAGATATAAGGAGAACCTTTCATCCCAAAGAAAATAGATATACCTTCTACTCTAATCCCCATGCATCTTGGTCTAGAATAGACATGTTATGGATGAATAAAGAGCTAGGATTAAGGTAGGGAAAATTGAGATTTCTCCCAATACATGGGCAGATCATAACCTCCTTGAGGTAACATGGAAAGGCCCAAGAAGAAGAACTAGAAGATTGATGTTAAATCCACAAATATTAAATGAAAAGGAGTATGTAGAAAGGACAATGAAAGAATTGGGATTATTTTTCAAAAAAAATAAAAAACAGCATACTTCCCTACCTAATCTATGGGATACCATGAAAGCCTACATAAGGGGGATAACAATAACCTATAATGCAAAGAAAAACAAGGAAAAATGGGAAATGCATAACACTCTTCGGGAAGAAATAGATAATTTGGAAAAGAAACTTCAATTAAAAACAGGAGATGAGTCAACTAAAGAGAAGCTGATCCTACTGAGACATAAGTTGAATCTATCAGAACAAGAAGAAATCGCAAAAAATCTAAAACATTCCAAACAGTTTTACTTTGAGCATGCTAATAAGATCGGTAGGTGGTTAGCCTACAAACTGAAAAAAGAAAGAGAAGCACGGATCATTCAACAACTAGAAGATGTGAGGGAAAACATCCAGAATAACGAGGAAGAGAAAAAGAAAATTGCACAAGACTATTATACAGATCTTTATAATAAGGAAAAAATAGCAGTAGAGAAGATTGATAAGTACTTAAGGGAAAAAAAGACTATACTAATAGGAAAGATGAAAGACAAATGCTTAACAAAGAAATAACAATAGAAGAGTTGAGAGCGGCAATTTCGAGACTTAAAAATAATAAAACACTGGGCCCGGATGGTCTCCCAGGAGAAATATTTAAAAAGTAGATGAAATTATACAACCAACATTACTGGAGATCTGTAATGAAGCACTATTTGAGGCGAAGATACCGGAATCATGGAGGGAAGCAAATATTACACTACTCCCGAAAGAAGGTACAGATAAAAGTCAGATTAAAAACTACAGATCAATATCCTTGTTAAATGCGGACTACAAAATATTTATGAGTATAATTGCAGGGAAGATGAAAAAAATATTAAACACTATTATACACCCCAATAAAATGGTTTCATTCTGGACAGACAAATAAGAAACAATACAAGAATAATTGTATTGTTGACACCTTGGAGTATTGACCTCCAATTGACACCTTGGAGTATTATGAAGCACATCCAGAGAAACAAGTGGCCCTTGTTTTTCTGGATGCCCAAAAAGTCTTCAACAATTTGAACTGGCAATTTATGATTAGTCAAATTAAATTAATGAAATTTGGAACTATTTCCAAGAAAATGATATCAACTTTTACCTGCTTTAATTGAACAAATGTCAAAGGATACATGCTTTTAATTGGTCCAGATGGGGAAAAATCATTCAGCAGTTCAGTCACTGTTCCAACCTGTAATGGAGCAAAAACAGAGTATAATTTGCATTGAAATAAATGCAGAACAACAACACATTCTAAACAATGCTTACATAAATATTTATCAGAATTTGTTCTGAAGATATCTATTTAAGATATACAACAGTATACAGTATGTATAGAAACCATTTCAGCCTCCTGCCTGTAGCTGTTTTCATACTCTTAACTGAATTCTCACACAATCATGTTGAATGATGCCAGTTCCATGTAGGAATAATGTGAAAACTCAGTGAAAAAAAATATCATTCCTCCAGAGCTATTTTATAATTAACTTTATTGCCATAATGTAAATGTAAACCTTATCCTGAAGATACGATTCTTTCCCGAGACTAAATTCCCTGATGTGTTAATTCTAATTAAACTTTTTTTCAGGGTTCTTGCACATTTTTCAACTATACACTGTAAAAGAAGAGCTCCATTTTTTTAAGCTTCATGACAAAGTTCAAATTTTCCACCTCCAATCTCTAAAGCACCACTACAAAGCAAATGATTGTTTGTCTTTTGTTTAAAAATAGAACTTCATAATAGCTAAATCAAAATTTCCCAACTCATGACTATGCAAATCTAATGGCTATGTAATATTACTATTGCTGTATTTATTCCAAACTGCTCCAGTCAAATTAGATAGGAAATTTTTTTGGGAATTTAATTCTACCATTAGGAAATTTATTTGGGGAGGGAAGAAACCGAGGATTGCAATCAGGAATCTACAAGACAAAAAAGACAGGGGTTGTTTTGGACTTCCAATCTGGGAAATTTATCACAAAGCAGCAAACTTAGTATGGTTAAAAGAGTGGGCAATTCTGGGAAATAAAAGAATCCTGACATTGGAAGGCCATGACCTCCAGAAGGGTTGGCATGCTTATCTTTGGGAAACAGGGAAAAGAACAAGAACTTATTTCCATAAACATAAAATAAGGGACACACTAATGTCAACATGGGGAGAAATAAGACAAAAACAATATACTAAAATTCCCAGATGGCTATCCACAATGGAGGCAATAATATACCCCAATGTTCTGGAACTGGGCAAAACTGTAAAATATAAAGAGATGCTAGATGGGGTAGGAAACCTCAAAACAATGGAAGAATTGAAAGAACAGGGCACCCACGTAGAATGGTGGACATATGCACAAATTAAATCGCGATATAAAAAAGATATAGAAGAATATGGCATAGAGACAGGCATCAATGGTTTTGACAAGGTATAGATGGGTACAGATAATAAATTATTGGCTAAATTGTATAACTATCTGGTAGAGTATGACTTGATAGAGGAGGTGGTTAAGGACCCAATGATAGCATGGGCCAAAATATCGGATAAACCATAAATTTGAATGAGTGGGACCAAATTTGGAATAACAATCTCAAAATGACCAGAGCAACAACTTACAAGGAAAATCAATATAAGGTGGCACTTAGCACCAGCCAGGATTGCCAAAATTTACCCAAACACGAGTTCAAACTGTTGGAAGTGTGGCCACCAGCAAGGTACCTATTATCATTGTTGGTGGACCTGTCCACAAGCCAAAGAATTCTGGAGGATGATTTGTAAATGGGTGTCGGAAATAATAGGAGATACCATTGAATTAGAACCAAAAATATTTCTCCTGGGAATCTTGAAGACAGAATTTGCAAGAAAGAAGAAGTATCTTATCACACATATAATAACAGCAGCAAGAATCTCCTATGCTCAACATTGGAAAAAGTTGCCATCCAAAGAGCACATAATTAGGAAAATAATGGAATGTGCCGAAATGAATAAGCTGACATTAGAAATTAATGATAGAGAGGAAACTGACTACTATAGCGTGTGGGATATGTGGTATGAGTGATTAGAGAAAAGAAAATTGAAGTGAAGACGGAGAGAGCTAAAGTTCAATTTGATGATTAACTAAATGAGTATATTGAAAGGAGTCGTACTACCGGTAGTAGGAAATAAAATGGAGTAAGGATGCAAGTTTATGTAAATAAAATGTAATAATAGGTATTAAGGATAACATAAGTAAGAAATCCTATGGGCAGTACCTTTTAAATTAAGATAACGAGGCTATACCATGTAAATAATAAGCAAATATTATGTATGTGTATATGTATGTGTATATCAACACCATGAAACCGGAAAGGTGGAATTGTACTATAATTCTTTAACAATAAAAACTTAATAAAAAAAATTACTATGTAATATACATTTACCTTCATCAATTTAACTTCTCCATATGCAAACTTAGGAGTTGTTGGAGGTATAGGCCCCTTTGGCAAATCCTTGTACTGAAATATAAATGAAATATATATATATATATATATATATATATATATATGTGTGTGTGTGTGTGTGTGTGTACAGTTAATATTTCATTTCTTCCTGTGTAATTGTGAACATATCCCTAAAAGGGTAGAAGCGACGTTTTGACAGAATCTCATCTGCCATCATCAGGCTTATGTGAAGGGTCTTTTGCTGTAACTGCCGTTACTATTTCAAATCTGGTGCTGGTAGTCTGGGATGGCTTCACCTTTTCATTCTGATTGGTTGGGAGTCTCAGTTTGTGTTTATTGGCTTGGCTTCGGGTGTATGGTCGGTTTTTCATCTTTGTGGCTGGCTGGAATGTGATTTGGCTGGAACTTGTGGCCATACAGGCTTTTTGATTAACACTTGATTTATGTTTTATATTTTGTGTTAAGATTCGTCTATATATGAGAGCAGGTTTCCAAATAGTAGGAAGACGTGAAGTGTCATATATATATATATATATATATATATATATATATATATATATATATAAATGTTCGTTTGTTCAAAATCGTAAATCTCCAAAAGTTCTTCATCGATTGCTTTGAAATTTTGACATAACGTTGCATTTTTTGAAAAACAGCGCCATCTGTTGGACGTAAAAGCAACACGTTATACTATCTTTTTGGACTTTAACGTTGCAGCACCACAATGGTAGGCGCGAGCCGGGTCTTTTCCCCTCAGTGCCGCCGCCGCCAAACCCACAAGCAAAATGGCGGGAAATGTCAACCGCCACCAAGTGTCCTCCTGACTAACAGAGTATGCCGTACCTTTGCCAGGGACTCCGATGCCACCTGTGGTGTGGAGAGCTGTGAAGGTGAAGGCGGTTATACCGGCAAGCCGGGAAACCAGCTCTTACACCCGCGGCAAACTATGATGGAGACAAAGTAGGCGTGACCTGAGCTACAGAAGGACATTATTGGCAGTCGGTCAAAAAATATTGTATACCCACAAGACTGGGCCACAGCTAGTATGTCTGTCTGTCTGTCTGTATATATATGTAGGTCTTTGGTTATTTGGGTTTTCTCCCGCATAAAATTGGAAGTGTTTTGGCGACGTTTCGACGAAGTCTCACTTGTCATCTTCAGGCTGGTGTCTTCGGCTTCATGCTTCTAGGAGCAATGTGTGATCGCAGCTGTTTCTTCCTTTTAACTGCCAGTGGGGGTGTGAACTGATTGGGTGGGAGCTTGGCTGTGTTCTGATTGGGTGGAGGTGTGTTCTGATTGGTTGGGGGCTTGGCTATGCTCTGATTGGATGGGGGATTGGCTGTGCTCTGGATGGGGGTGTGTTCTGTTTGGGTGGGGGCTTGGTTGTGCTCGGGTTAGTCTGAGTTGCAGGGGGATTTGAGCTGGTGAGCTGTGTTGCTGTTGTTTGGCTTCGTGTTCGTGGTCGTGCCACATCTTCATGGTGGGTGTCAGTTTGCTTCATGTATGGATTGGAGGGGTTTAAAGTGGCTAATGATGCAGCTGTGGTCTGGCTTCTGGTTTGTGGTCATGCCTCATCATCAGTGTGGGTTTGAGTTTGCTTTTTGCGTTGATGTGTGGTGGTGACATCCTGTGTGGTTTTCGTGAGTGTGGGTCTGGTGTCATTCTTATATATAACACTATATATATAGTGTTCAGAATTTGAAGAATCAATTTTCTCATTTTTGTGTAAATAAGCTTATATGATCTTGGGTTGCTGTGGTATCATTACTCAATCTGGAACCCTTGAAATTTGTTGGGACTAAATCTACCAGCACCATCACTTCCTAGCCAAAATGGTTAGGATTTAAGGCAATTGTAGTCTCACTACATCTTCACTACATTGGTAATAATTATATACAATGAGGAGGCTGCCATGAATTCCATTTTTTTTTCATTTCTGCTATGATGACTTTAAATCTAGAATCTAGACTAATTTAATAATTTGAGGACCAACTTTGGAGATGTTTCTTACACATATCTCACCAAAATGATTATTCTGTAGAAAAAAAATAATCATCCCACATTTAGGATGGAAAAATCCAGAAAACCACCTGGTGGCAGAAAAAAGTTAGTTTTTTTTTCCTGTGCCTATTTGCTGCAATCTATTGGGCCTTGGGATTTTTAAGGCCCAGCACATGCATATACATTCACCTGAATTTTTGTCATTAAATCTAATGACTGAATCAGACTACTATGGAGCCCAGAGCAGGTACTTTAGGTTCGTGACTAAATTAGAAGTCAAAATAAATCCAGGGTAAGATATAGAAGTGATGTTTCAAAAAGAAACTCACCATGCCAATAACTTCTCTGAGAGCAAAATACTTCTCTGTAAGATCCCCTGCTTCACTCAATGGGGCATCATAATCATAACTAGTAGGTTGTGCCATGTATGGTATATTGGCTCCTGTGAGAAAAAGCAGATTGTAAATTGGGTATTTGATTGCCTCCAATGAATTATATAGGTTTAGGAGACTTTATAATGTCCTCAGTGTGTCAATAGATTGCATGTACTTCATAGCTGATAAGATACCTGCTTTGGTATATTGACTTGCAAGGCAATAGCTATATTTTAGATACTAGCTTGGTGTAAAAGCACGAACATGTTTAGAATAAAATTAAACTTTGATTGGATTTGTAAAATACTGGCCCAAAAGCATCCAAAGTGATGAATATTGTCCTTATCATTCATATAAAATAATTGCTTAAATCATAGATATGACTAGAAATCCTAGTTTGCTCTTATTTCTTTTTTTACTAAGAGGTATTGTGCTAAAAACCTTGATTGACTAAAGCCATATTTGATAGTAGAGAAGAACATCATTATCTTTCTCATATACAGAAGGAGTGATATCAGAACTATAGGATCTAGATTGCAAGAGTGTTGGGACAGGTTTTAGCAAAATTATGGTTGAAAGAAATGACTATGAGCAAATTTTGATAAGATGGTGGAGTTTACACCAGGTAGTAGATATGTGCAGATTATATTTTTGCTCTTCAATAGACAAATTTTTCATATTTATACATTTGTTGACTATGACAAAGTGCATGACAAAAATTACCAAGCTTGAAATATGGATATTCTGTGTGAAAAATGGAGTTAAACATTGATAACTTTCAGCAAATGTTAGTCAAACTGTATGATACAGAACTATGAATCAGAAAATGTACCAAAGAAAATCATACTTTAGTCATTATTGACTCTATCTTATTGGTCAAGGAAAAAGGAGTGAACCATTTCAAATGGCAAAATATAGAGCAAGTAGGTGAAAGCCTATACTTCGGGGGTGGGGGAGTACAATGTTCCAAATAAAATGTCTCACTCTATTTAACTCTCTGGCTTCATCTAAATAAGAGAGTCAGTCCCTGTTGTAATTTTAGCCTAAGTGCCTGGCAGCTAGATATTACTCATACAGATAGTCCTTGGATTAAGACCAGTTGTTCAGCAACAATTCAAAATTACAGTGCTGCTGAACTAATAGGCCTATGACAGGTCTTTGGAGTTCTGACCATCCCTGTAGTTACGTGACTGTGAGCTGGCACTTGATGCCTGGCTTATGTGAGTACATCTCAGCAGGCCACAGTCATGAGATAACAATTTCCAATGTTCTTTGCTAGCTTCCATAAGCAATATCAGCGGGAAGTCAGAATTCACTCTCCTTCCTGCCAATTTTTGTCCATTGCACTCTGTAGCACCTGCCCAAAGCACCCCCATCCATACTCCAGAGCCTGCCTAGAGCACACCAATGGCACATGCACACTTGTGCAGCCCTGGGGTTATGGCAGCTAGGATTGCCATTGCTAAGTGATTGACTCACATAACATAGCACTTTATTACTACATTGCTTAGTGATAGAAATTCTTGTTTCAATTGCTCTCGTAATCCGATGATACTTGTGCTATATTCTGGAAACTGAAACCCCAACAAAAAGAACTCCCTTCGATGACTTTTCTATTTTCTTCCATCCAAAATTCTTCTACTCCTCTGTTTAAGAAGACATATAGTACATGTTCTTGTTTTTAGGATTAGAAAAAAGAAAATCTTTTAATTATAGGATAAGCAGTTACATGCACACTTCTTACCATTCCAGTAGCCAAAATTAGTGCCTCCTATGAACATATATCTGAAAAAAGAAGTAGAAAAGCAATCGAGGATGCTGCAGAAGAACCTTGTTTTTTCTTTTAAACAGATATCAATGAACTTACAGGTTAACGTTAGCTCCATGTGCCAAGATTTCACTAAGAGTTTTTGCTATGGCTGGTGACGGTATAACATTATGGGGGTGGCCCCAATGATCTAACCAACCAGTATAGAATTCAGAATTGACCTAAAAATGGAAAAGCTTTTTTTAAAAAATGTATATTAGAAATAAAGAACTAATGCATAACAATCTACAATAAAAAGCTTCTCAAGAGATCTATCTGCTACACATTTAACTACATAAAGTATATCACAGAAGTGAATACACCCCCTCACATTTTGTAAATATTTAAGAATATCTTTTCATGTGACAACACTGAAGAAATGACATTTGGCTACAATGTAAAGTAGTGAGCATACAGCTTGTATAACAGTGTAAATGTGCTGTCCCCTCAAAATAACGCAACACACAACCATTAATGTCTAAACTGCTGGCAACAAAAGTGAGTACACCCTTAAGTGATAATGTCCAAAAAGGGCCCAAGTAGCCGTTTTCCCTTCCTGGTGTCATGTGACTTGTTAGTGGTACAAGGTCTCAGGTGTGAAGGGGGAGCAGGTGTGTTAAATTTGGTATTATCACGCTCACTCTCTCATACCGGTCACTGAAGTTCAACATGGCACTTCATGCAATGAATTTGAGGATCTGAAAAACAAATTGTTATAAAGATAGCCTAGGCCAGGGGTCTGCAACCTTAAACACTCAAAGAGCCATTTGGACCCGTTTCCCACAGAAAAGAAATCACCGGGAGCCACAAAATCTGGGTGGCCATGGCCAACTCGACGTCACTCACTCCCACCCAGTCACACGATGACCCCCCCAGCCATGCTTCCCCAGGTTTTGTGGCTCCTGATGTTTTCTGTGAGAAACAGATCTCTTTCCCTCTTTCTCCCTCTGTCTCTCTCTTTCTCTCTTTCTCTCCCTCTCTCATCTTTCTCTCTCTCATCTCTCTCTCTCTCTTTTTTTTCCATATTTTATATTAACATATAAAAAAATTAACATACATAACATACATGAATCATAATATATAATATATAACAATATACAGAATACAAACAATCAACGAGTGCTCCCCCACCCCTCGGGATCATTCCTGCTTCCAGAATCTTAAGGCTTCTTCTGGTGGTGGTATCCCTCTTCCTCCAGAAAACACATATATTAGGAACTGTTTCCAGATTCCATTGAATTCGTTTACCTTCATTATGCCCCTCCTTACTTTAATATTGCAAGTCAATTTATCATTTATGGCAATATCCCATACTTCCTTATACCATTCTTCTAAACTATAAACCCCTTGTGTCTTCCAGTTCCTAGAAATCATTAACCTTGCTGCGGTCAACAAATTTATTATCAATTCTTTAGTCTCTTTTTTACATTTTATATCTTCCAATAGTGAAAGTAATGCTACCTTTGGTGCCTCTTCTACCTTTATTCCTACAATTTCTTCTATCTCCTTAAACACCATCTTCCACAATTTTTGCACAAATTTACAATCCCACCACATATGTAAATACGTTCCTTTTTCCCCACAGCCTCTCCAACAGTTATCTGAATAGTGCTGATTCATATTGCTTAATCTAACCGGAGTTAAGTACCACCTCCATACCATTTTGTAGTAATTCTCTTTTATTCTTACTGACATATTTCTCAACACTCCTTGTTGCCAAATTCTGTCCCAACTCTGTTGCCCTATTTGTATCTTCAAATCGGTTTCCCATACCATCTTTCCTAAATTTCCCCTCTCCTCTTCCTCCAACAATATTTTATAGATTCCACTCATTAAGCCTTTTATCCCTTTATTTTCTTCCTTTACAGTTTGATTTTTTTCAATTAATTCCTCAAACCTTGTTAACTCTCTACACTCTCCATTTTCTCTTTTAGTCCATTTTTAGTCCATTGTTCCACTTGGCTATAATTTAACCAAGACAGCCGTTTTCCTCCTAGAACCTCTTCCAATTCCCCACGTGTCCTCATTCCTCCTAACCATTCCCTTAATTTCATTTTATTTTTCTCTTTTAGAATTTCATTCACTTTATTCTTCAAATTCCCTGGGAACTTTTCCAAAATTACTACCTGTGATAATGGAGAGTTCTTCGGAAGCAACTTCCCTTTATATTTACTCCAAATTTCCCAATGAAACTTCAGGAGTGGATTGCTTATGCTCTCAGCCCATTTCTTTCCACCTTCCATAAAAAATATATTTTCCAACTTCCATTCTAATTTGGTTTTAATTTTAGATTTAACTTCCAACCATTCCAATTCCCCTATTCCTAAAATTGCCTCTATAACATGTCTGAGCCTGTTAGCGACATAATATAATTTAATATTTGGGAGTCCTAAACCCCCTTTTTTTGGCTTAGATACCACTTATTTTTATTTATCCTCACTTTCTTATTCCCATTACAATAGCTGTTCAGTATATTCTGCCAACTGTTTAACTCTAATTCTGATATTTTTATTGGTAGCATCCTAAAAGCAAAATTGATCTTTGCTAAAATCTTCATTTTTACTAAGGCAATTCTTCCAAACCATGATAAATTCAACCTTTTATATTTATTCAAACTTTCCAAAATCTCCTTCTTTAAGCTGCCTAGATTTTCCTTTTCTAACTTCTCCAAATTTTTGGTAATTCTAACTCCCAGGTATTTAATATGATCTTTAATTCTCATTTCGCTTTGCTTCCCTTCCCAATCCTTCTCTTCCCTTTTAGTGTAGTTAAACAGCATCAACTTAGATTTTGACCAATTTATTCTTAATCCAGTTATTTCTTCAAATTCTTTTAGATGCCATCCAATTCTTTCTATCTTATCCACTATATTCTTAACTGTTAACAATGTATCATCACCAAACATATTTAGTTTTATTTTACCTATCCCTTCTATCTCCCCGTCATCTCTTAATGCATTGGCCAATAGTTCCATAACCAATACAAATAGGACAGGTGAGAGTAGGCACCCTTGCCTCCCTCCTCTGGCGAGTTGTATCTTGTCTGTAACTCCATCATTCACTACCACTAAAGCAGAATTCCAGGAGTATAATTGATCTATTACACCTTTAAATTTATTTCCAAATCCCATTCTGTCTATTACCATCTTTAATGCTTGCCAACTCACACAATCGAAGGCCTTAAAGATATCTAACGCTAATATCCCCGCTTTAAGTTTTAGATTTTTGATCTTGTGAATTACATTTAACACTCTTCCTACCAAATTATGCATTTGATGGCCCATTACAAATCCACATTGATCTTCCCTTATATAATTACCTATAAAATTATTCATTCTTCTTGCTAAAATAGTTGAAAAAACTTTTGCTTCTTGATTTATTAATGATATTGGTCTGTACGAGTCAGGGAGCATCGGATCCTTATCTGGTTTAAGTATTAATATTATTAACGACTGCTCCCATGATTCTGGAATCTTTTCCCCTTCTAATATTGCATTATACAGCTTTAATAATTTCGGTACTAATAATGTTTTAAATGTTTTATAGAATTCTGTTCCTAATCCGTCTACCCCAGGTGATTTACCCACCTTTAAACTTTCAATTACTTCTGCAATTTCCCTTTGCGATATACTCCTTTCCATTAATTCTTTATGCTCTGTTTCTACAGCCCTTTTTATATATTTCCCAATATAAGCTTCCATTCTATCCTTCTTAACCTCCTTACCCTTGTACAACTCTTGATAAAATTCCTGGAATATTTTTAACTTTCCTTTCATTGTACTACAATAATTCCCCAATTTATCTTTCACTATATCTATTGAATTTTTAGCTTTCTCCTTTTGTGTCAGCCTGGCAAGCATCTTAGAATTTTTATTGCTATTTTCAAAAAATTATCTTTTCATGTATATTAAATTATTCTGAACTTCCTCTAAATTTTTATTCTCTAATTCTTTTTTTTTAGCTTGTAATTCTATTAATTTCTGTTTATTTCTTGTATGCCAGTACTCTTTTTCCAATTTCTTAATCTGTTCCTCTAATTTTTCCCGTAATGCAGTTTCTTGCCTTTTAACACTACAGGCTTCCCTAATACATATTCCCCGTGTCACTGCCTTCATGGTGTCCCATACCATTCTCGTTGCTATTTCTCCTTTTTCATTAATTTCCCACAATTCTGATATCTCCTTTTGCATTTTCTCAACCACTTTCTCATTTTTAAGAATCCTTGTAGTCACCTTCCATCTAACCGCTTCTCTATAGTCTTTTTTTACCATAAAGTCTAAACTAACCACCGCATGATCTGTTACTTTAATTAGTCCCACTTCCATTCTACACAACTTAGTTGCCATATCCCTAGAAACAAAAACATAATCAATTCTAGAATAGGATTGGGGAATAATATGTGAAACCGGGCTCCCCATCTTTAAGAAAATGCCACCCATCCACATAATCTTTTTCTTTTATTAATTTATTTTAAATGGTGATATTATTCCTCCTTTCAGCACTTGTGGAATTGGTCCTGTCCAATCTATTATTCATAACCATATTAAAATCTCCACCTAAAATAACATGTCCTTCTTTAAATTCTTCTATTACTTTAAACAATTCTAAAAAAAATTCTCTAGGTCCCGCATTTGGGCATAAACATTAACCAACGTATATTTTGTACTTTCAATTTGACCTTTAATCATAATAAATCTACCATGCCCATCTTTTTTTATACTCTCCATAATAAATCCAGTTCTTTTAGAAATCAATATGGCCACCCCATTTTTTTTGAAGTCCCCAGTGACTTTTCATAATGGAGTGACCACTTCAGACGCACTTCATTTATTCCCTCCTTATCCTGGTAAGTTTCCTGCAAGAAAATGATGTCAGATCTTTCCTTGTTTAACAATTGTTCAATTCTCCTCCTTTTCACTACTGCCCCCAAACCTTTGACATTGAGTATTGTAATTCTTATAGTTTTATCCATATTCAGCACATACAAATTCTTTACGATCCCTTGTGCACTTTAACTTAAACCAACATATAAGAAAACACAAAACGACCTCAACTAAATAACCCTCATAACCTACCCCCCTTCCCCACCCCCCACCCCAAAATCTCCCCAAACTCTTTTCCCCCCACTAAATCCCCAGTAGCCTAATGCTCCAGCCATTCCCTTAAAGGTGGGGGGAGATGAA